ATCAATTTTCAAATTCTTCTGATGGTTTTGATTTCACCTTATCTTTGCAGATTAGATCTCGCTTCAAAAAAAAAATCAATGGCGTCACCCCAATTGTAGTTGAAGGAACAAGCATTAAGCGAGCCTCGCAAGTGAGTGAATCTGGGGTGCCAAAGAATATTCATGTCCAGCCTTGCAATAGGATTAAAAGTGGTGTTGGAGTCTCTAAGATCTGAGTCGACATAGTAGTCTTTTTCCATCGTCTAGATATGTGTATATCTTAAATTAAGTTAACATCCGTTTAGAAAGCATGGTACACCTCAGAAGAGCTGGATAGCCCGCAGGAGCTAAGGCTCGGATAAAGGCTGATAGTTTCGAAAGAAACTGTTTGGGGCTGCGTCGGTGGAGGTAACGAAATGATTTGGATATATCAACAAAGTTGAAATGTAAATTGGCCACCGTAACGATTACAAAAGCTGACGTTTCGGGTGTTAGCCCTTTGTCATTCGCTCCGACGAAGGGCTAACGCTCGAAACGTCAGCTTTTGTAATCGTTACGGTGGCCAATTTACCATTTCAACTTTGTTGATATATCCAAATTATTTCGTTACTCCCACTCAAGAATTTCCATCTACATGACAATGTATATGACCTTTTGCGAAACAGCCACTAAACGGATCGCATTGCATTTTCGTCATAATAGCTCGAACTCTTTTCAAGCTGGAGGCACCGCTTAAAGCGGTCCAAAATAGAAGAATCAGATGAATTAGACAATAAGAATAAAGCTTTAACACGATGCATCTTTTTTATCTGTAATTATACATGGCAGACCCCGTTATATGTGGCAGACCCTTGCCATTTAAGTTGACCTTTATTTTACCTCTGCGACAAAGGCACAAAGTACCTTATTTCAACGGGTAACTGTCTAAGACTTGAACATAACAACATGACAATTAATTTAGGATTGCATCGCGTTGCGGCGTAAGAAGTTGCCGGAGTTGCATAATTTTTCATTATTTCACGTAGAAGGGAGGGGGGAGTTGCCATCTAGCTGTATTTTGAGCTTTTCGATTTTTCGGAGAAAACAAAGCACGATGTATTATTATGGTTTTTGGGAGTAGTCTATAGAAATTTTTAGTCAAATGGATATTATAAACATAAGTTTCATTGTTACGATTATAATCTTTATCATTATTATCTATTTGATTCTATATTTTTTAATATTTTTAATAAGCATTTTCTCGATAGCTATCTATAGCAAAGTTTCATATTACTTGATTTTGAAATAAAACTTTAGTTGACTTGAGAGGCTTGTAGTTAAGTAAGCCCTAACTGAAAATAACAAAACAATGCAGCAAGGAAAAACTTAAAGGATTCTGGTAGTTGTAGTCATATGCTGCCATCTTGTAGATGAGATATAACGACTGTTACCCCTCAGGCGGCTTTTTTTTTTTTCTTTTAACCATCTAGCCTGCACGAGACTCTATCCCTAAGTCTTTCTGCTCTTAAACTCTTAAAGAAAAACTCATTAATAAGTCAATGGGTCACTAATGATAAACTGTATTGAAAATATTAAGTAATGCATTGCGTGCTAAATTGTAGAGCAGGTGATAACCAGTAATATAACTGGGATGACATTTGGATAAAAACACACTGGATGAATCATTAGCTCCTCGAGTGAATATATATATATATATATATTTTCGTCATATTTGACTCATTGGGAGTGGATCAATTGACAGGAGTTTCATCTAGTGATAGAGTCTTTTCATCGAGTGCAAACAGGAGGGATAATCAAAATGCTATCTGGTATGGCGAGCACATTTCAGGCTGCGACGTTCATTCTAGGTGAGTAACGTCATACGCTGATCAAAATTATCACTAGAGGCAACTTGCCTTGTCATTAGAACGTCAAAGAAAAACCCCAAAAAGGTCTTTACTTTCTTAATACCTTTGTCAAATTTTGTCACTTACCGACAGAAACCGTATTCTAATTTTATATATATAATATTATTATTCGTAACTAGTCTAATTTATGCAGCGCGAAATTGACAGTTTAGTTGTTGCGTAGGAGAGCTTTGCTTCTGTGGCGGCATGAAGACACGAGTTCATTACGTTTGTTTAGTGTTGATAGTTCGGGCCGGCAGATAATTAGGAATTTTTCTTTGAGGCAGAGGTTACATCTTTTAGTTGAGCTGTTATACGGTGAGTGCGATGAGAGAATGCGCCAGGAAATAAAGTGATCGATGTTGTTGTCTTTGAGGGTCCAGATGTGCTTGCTGAGTTCGGTAGAGTTTCTGTGTTTAGCGTGGCGGAATGATGCGGTGTGGTTTCTGTATCTTGTTTTGAAGTCATTCTCTGTGAGTCCGATGTACGTTTCTGTCGTGTTGTTGTCTTTGCGTGTAACGGAGGCTTGGTAGATTACTGATGGTTGCAGGCAGTTTCCGTCGAGCGGGCATGTGTTCTTTTGTCGGCAGTTGCATGTCTTGTTGTTATCAATGGTAGTGGCGGTGGCGG